CTTCTGCCTGTTACATACTTTTCACAAAACCATTATACCCTGATTTCCCATGGTTCAGGGTATACAAATTGGCAACAGATAATACAACAGAATGATGAAACTAACAATAGTTTCATCTACAAAGGTAACACATTTTCAGCATTCTCGTTGGGAATAAATAACGAACTATCTTGTTGGGAGAACATATGAAATCTTGTAATCTATTATAACTAAAGCATTTTTGTTCATTGGCATGATTTATTTATATATGTACATAAAAAGGGGAAATATAATACATAGAGTTTGTTGATTTTATAACTTTTTAACCTGATTAAACTATATGTTATATTTTGAACTAGTTAATGATAGGTTCGTCTGTAGAAAGTGAAAGTGATCATTTCTTTCCAAACAGAATAGAATGGTCTGATGGGGGCTGTACATTCTGGTCGATCCACTTTGTGAGGTCAACTTGCGGGATACTTGAGCATGGCACAACAGGGTTTCTGTTAAGATAATCATGACAGATAATTGTCTAACAATTTACTTTTGTTATACTCACGATCCAGAAACCGTTTTAAATGCTTCAGGTTGCATCGAAGCAATATTATTGCCGTTGTCGCATAGTAAACGCGCCATGCTTGCCTTGCGCAGCTCCGCTAATTGATCTAATTATAAAAGTATACGATTTATAAGTGTAATAAGTATAATCATTGCTAAATATTTTAGTACCTGGAGTAAAACCGGTAATTTTGTCGCCATTTTCATAGAAGAAACGATCGCCGACACGAGTTCTATAGAATTGTTCTGTTAGAATGCAGAGGAACGTAGGACCGGCTAATGCACCGGCTACATGTGCCTCTAAGGAAGCCCCGACTGTCAGATCCACGTCCTCATGACTCGCATAGAGAGACCTGAGTGTAGCAATTATTTGGGGGCTGATCAGATCGCCGAAGTCCTCCCATGAGCTAGCGCGTTTTAGGCCACAAAATTCTCTCATATCATTGTAAGACGCAAGTCCGTGATCACGATTGCGTTGAATATCCAGTGATCGCAGATCGGATCCAAAAGGCATATTACGTCTAAATAAGAAATGCTTAATCTAAGAAAGAGGAATTACTTAGTTGTACGGTAGTATTATCCATATCTATACACACCTGTCTGTCAAAATTGATATCCGTCAGCTCTTCGGGCTGAGTCGCATGACCTCTGGTGAGGGAGTCGAAGTTGTCGCCGACTTCGAGAATGCCAGGGCGATTAAACCAATCACTGAGTGTCAATGAGCCAAGCACTGATCGTAGCTCGGACAGAAGACTACAAATATAAACAGTTATAACAATTATAGTCTTTCACGTAGTAATTCCTTACAGGTCAAAAATATACTCTTCATGCTTTTAAGGTAGAACTAACTGTAATTGTACTTACTCTAATCTACCCTCGATCTGGGAATGGAAATATCTGAAGGCAGCCGTGGCGTGTTCGTTTAATACACTGGGGTCGATGTTGGCATCGTAGTCATTCACGTAGCTACCGCCGGGTGCTTTGTAGATTATGCGATTCTTTATCATATTTTCGCCACCCAGGAAGATGGGGAGCCATTCGTAGTAGCTGATGTGTTGGTACTGGGCAATGTTAATTTTGCGGGCCTCTTGGAATAGCGTGCGATCATCGAAGTGCGGATTCAGCGCTGCGAGAGCATCGGCAATGCGGTTATGCTCACGCAGCAGCACGGTTTGTAGGATAGCAAGTCCTGGGTTCTGATTGACACGCACGTCGCCAGCTCTGTAGCAGACCTCATTGGGATCAACAGCGTCGCAGTCCCCTGTGACGTTGCGGGACAAGGGCAGCCACTTGGCTCCGTTGCGCTCCTCCACGATCATACGACCGCCTTGGAATTCACGGATGTCGCTGTTTTGCTGTATGGAGTTACCGTAGACCAGCGACAGGTCCATGTAGGCAGTGACTACTGTAAGCTGTTCGGCCGGTCCACCGGTGTATTGGCAGTTGGAATCACGGTCTGTCAGTGTGCGAACAAAGTTCAGGCATTCCGTACCCACTTGGGAGTACGCCGGATCGTGAGGCGGCACAATTATAGCAAAGCAGGTCTTATGGGCAACGTCTAAGCCAACCAGGCGTCCATCATCGGTGCAGCAACGCGTCGGATGTTTCTCTATGGAAGTGAACATTGGTAATTGGAGAATTGGCATGATGGGATATAAATGGATTCGTACTTGATTGGGTTCCACCAGCTTGCATGCTCATGTCGTGAGTTATTATCTGGCCCCATTGCATATTGTGCAGCGTGAACTGGGGATCGGGCACATCCTGTTCGCCAAACGCCACCAGGGATACCAGACGTGCACTGGGCAGCTCATCGCCAGTGACAGAACGAGTTGGTGCTGAGATTCCATCGGCGTACTTGGGCGATAAAAGACGTCCGTATCTTACAAATAAGAAATTCGATGTTTGCATTGATAGTGATGTAAGGGTATTGTAAGTTTAAGTCCTACTTTGTATTGGGAACGCCAAGTCCTGGACGTTCCAAGTGATTGCACGAGCCATCCATCGTGCGATAGGCCGACTTCTCACACACAGCTGGAGGACTCGCGCATGTGATTCGCGCTGGCATCGGAGGCGCTCGTGGGGTGTTCACAATTGAGAGGAAGGGATTTTGAGGTGCGGGTGAAGTATCCGCCAGTCCCGTGGGTAGGGCATTTCTGGAGATAAGTAAACAGTGTCAGTGTTCATAGTTGGGGTGTTGGAAGGCCAAGGCTCTTACCCTAGTAAAAACTGACTTGGTGTGCCCTGAAGATACCCAAACCCATGGAAGTTTCCTCCACGAGGCTGCAGATGATCGTTGTGTACGATATGATAGCCAGAGGACACCTTTAGGCCAACTGTCTCATAGACAAGGCCCAAAAGGCCAAGTAGGAGCATAATTTGCTGAAAGCAACGCTGAGATGAAGTGTACCATTGGTGTTATTAAACTATTTAAATTAAATTTATAGATATAACACTTTACATATGTCTATATATAACGGAAGTAGGGCATGTTGAACATTCGTTTGAGTATCACTTATTTTAGCTCTTAGTGGATTTGGATGTCTGCAGTCTATTGACATTGTGAAATCCGTTTCGATCTACTAGCAGCCGGGGCATGTACTGCTACTTTGCATGTCAGCCAAGTATTAGTGCAGCTAGGGAAAAGTTGACTGCAGCCATTCAAAGTGGATCGACAGACTCCTGCTGTTATGGTCAGAACTGGTTTCATCACCTTTTCGGCTTCAGTTCTGTCTCTGTATTATTTATTTGCATTGCGACATTTGAGCATAGAGACCAAACCAACATTTCGAGGTGAATTTCTCGAATTTATAGCGAGCATACGAGAATGTATTCATAGGACTTATAAATACACTTGGGTAAATAATTTATTATATACAATATACCACTATGTACTGTGAACTGAGCTAGCGTGAAAAGTCTCATAATTGTTTTATTATGATAATGCTCATTTGACCAATTTGCAGTCTACTTATGTAAGCAAGCTGAATCGCTGGTCTCTATTAGTTACTTGATCACAATGAACTTTGTTTTTGCAGCTCTCTAGCCTCGGGCTTACAGACTCATTTATCTGGCAAGCGAGCTACCACGACTCAAAGCCTAAAGTCAGACATTTGTGCCAAATGCCAGCTGCATGCAAATGCGCAGATATTAGCCACCAATGCGCCGCCGCGGGTTCCGTGACAAAAGCTAACACAAACAGATAGTACTATAGTATAGCATGTTTTAATTGCATGCCAAGCAGAACAATGGCTAAGACAATGGGATCGAACAGACGGCTGCAGTTCAACATGAAAAGCTGCAATGAGTCTTGGATACGGTAACAGGCTCTGGCCGGGTCGGCTTCCTAGTTGGGTCAGCCTCGTGCCTCAATTCACAGCAGCAATGCACGCTCCGTCGTCCATGTAGCCCAACAATCTCCAACATCGGGCATATCAAATTAGAAAAATAACATAAACGGGTAGACCCACGATTTTGAATTCTAATTTAAACTGGATTAACAAGGCAGTTGACTAGCACAACCCAAGCAACAGTCGTTGCTCAAGGTTAATCATTGATATTTTCGCAAATGCTTAGCGACAGCTCACCCTTCCAGTTCATATCGAAGAGGCTGTGTACCGAAACTAGCTAATCTCATTTATAAATATGATAAATTAAAATCTGAAAACATATGAATATATGACATCCACTGTAAATGCTTAGAGCAGGATTAATAAATATCTGAGATATTTCTTGTACAGTAGAAAAGATTATGGGCAAAAAAAGATATATATGTAAGTAGGCGATGGACTCGAGTATGTATTTCAAATTGGTTAGTAATGAATTTTAATGAACGAATTGGCTGTTACAGTTACATTCCCCAGTGTATGGGTCAGAAATTCTCGCATATTTTATTGGGAATACATGCATTTTAAGTGGGCCAACATATAGCTGACGACTTCTGTCCATATCGGGTAAATGCGAGCAAATTTTTACAACTTTAACGACTTCTAATTAAAATCGAGCTCGGAGTCGTTCGCGTCGCCAAAGAAATTTGGTGATCATTAAAGTGTAAAATAGCTCAGCGCAAGACGATAAAGAAATTCGATACAAAATGATTGATTTATTGATGGCTGGCCCAGACTGGCCTAGACTGGTCCCAGCCTTATAGAGCGGCCCCCAGTGTTGCGCCTGCTCGCCAGTGCTCCATAATGGATATATAGACGTACATATCTGTCAGCATCTTTCTGGCGGTCCGAGGCATGTAAACGTGCTCTGCCCACCAATCGACAGGCATGCCGATAGGTCTATCGTCTATGTAAGTAACAAGCACTAATTGAAATTGCCATTTATAGTGAAAGTGTCCCAAAGCCAGTGGAGCACCAAGACTATCCAACAGCACCTTAAGGCAGCGCGGATCGGGTCGCAGCTCTGCTCTGATCTGCTCTGGTATTCGAAGCGTCAGCTTATGTGTTGTGTAAGTATTTTGCTTCTTCTGAGATCTGCGATAAATAATTACAAAATATTTGCGCTATTCTGCAAGCGAAATCGAAGGCACAGACATATTTTATGCAACAACATGACAGCTTTTCGTATAATTGATGCCAATAAGTAGAGTGGCACATCGAGTGCCCACACAAACATAATAACTCTCAGTGTGAGTGTGGTACATGTCTGTGACTGTGTGTGTGTGTGTGTGTGTGCATAGTGCACAAAAAATATTCATCTACATTCACATAGACACGCATGAGCATGTTTTGTATCGAAAAAGTCTTGTGACCAACCAGACCCAGCCAGAGCTCTGGCAGCAGTTGGCTAAAAGTCACATAAGCTTAAAACACTGAGTGTATCGAGCAGTATATGTATATAGCATAATACACTAACTCGATGGGGTGATTAGCAATTTATGAACTTTTTGGGCGCGAGTGGTTGCATTTTGGCCGAAAAATCCATTAATTAATTAATGGCGAATGCAATTATCAGTTGCCTTTGTCGTCGTAAATTTAGATGCTGCAAACAAATTGATTCTTAACGGTTTTTTGGCCAATTTAGGCAGTTGGTGGTAACTGGTTGCAGAGGAAATTGAAATACGGCCAGTTGCAATCGTTAGCCTCAAATATATAGATGGAGCATTTATGCTTCCATCCGTGTTTTAGGTTTGGATTGAGTTGATGTCAATCATAATGTTCCTTTATTGTGTTAGCTAACTCGCAAAGAGCTTTTAAGCAGAGACGCCAAAAACTGGTATGTAATTATTTATTTTTTATTTTCTCAGGTTGGCCAGAAAGAGTATAAGCCACCCATAAGTAGTTGGCTGAAAAGTCATCGCCAGCTTGCATGGAGGGGCTATCGTTCTACCGTCAGTCCCAAGGTAGTGCAATGCCTTTCGCCATACCGAGTGACATATCACGATTTCGACTTTAGAGCTGGCCCGTAGTACGCCTGCTTCACTTTTAATTAGTGACAGCGTCGAGCCACTTGAATCAGCTAATAACTTGAATAGGTGCTATAAATTTTGGAAGCAAAAATTTAGGCATATCCTTTATACTTTTATTTGTTTGTCGTTCAATTTACAGTTGCTTTCGCATCAGCAACTCTGCTGGACCGTATTATACTTGTTTTTGCAACAAGTATTTAAGTATTCAAAATGTTCATTTCTTTTATGACACCCTAATTTCTACACACACTTGAAAATATTTAACAAATTAAAAATATAAACAAACATCGGTATTCAGCATTTGTTAAGAGCCGGTTTCAATACGGTCCGGTTTCAATATTGTCGTTGCTTGGGTAAATTGGGGGATTGTCACTGTTAATATATGTATATATATATGTATATACTTAAACATATTATAATATTTCTTAGTACATTATTTGTTACGAGATATATGCAAATGAATGTGTAAAGCAAAAGTAATCACATGGGCTAATTTATTAAAGTCTAATTGAAAGTTATTTATAGGCCGCATTCACTTTAAACATTGATATTCCAAAAATGCCATAATAACCTTTTTCCTTTCACAATCACAATCCCATCACTTTAGTGTTCCAATCTCTCTACACAGTCTAACTGGTGCATAGTTCAATCCCTTGCTTGGCTATAATAATCGTGTTTCCCATGAGCTACTGCTTGGTTGAGTTTTGGCCGTAGCATGTTTCAGCGGCAATTAAAACCAAGGTAATTATGATGCTCTTAACGCAATTGCCGTATCCGGCCCGGTTCCGGCCCCTACGACTGCGACGGCACTGACAATGCCAACCAGAGCAGATCCAACAGCGTTGTATTTACAACGGAAGACAGAGAGTAAAAAATTGTCAGGCGACAATAACAAGAGACACGCGAGAAACAAAAAAAAAAAATAAAACAACTTTAATAATAATCACGGTTTGACGATTAAAGTCAGCGGATATGTAAAAACGCTAACGACCGTTACTTCAAGCAGTTTATATTGAGGGGTATATATTAAGTCACGTGTAGACCCTCTGGAAACCGAGACTAGACAACTTTGTTTCATCTTATATTATATGTAGTAATAATATAGTTTGCAAGAGGATTGGTAATTTATCAATTTAGGGTCTAATATACCAGCTTTGAAGGGGAGTATTAAATATTTTATAATGAAAATGAATGAATTATATAATAACGAAAATGATAATTCATATAACTATAAAAAAAAAACCGTTCCTAAAATTCGTTTAATCAGCTCTAAATAATTTGTTTAACCTATGTATGACGGTTGAACTTCATTGCAGAAAGAGGTATAAACCTTACTATCACGAAAACAAATGATGAATTCAGTCCGTTCCTACTTAGAAATTTCTGATTTTGTAGCGTCTCTCCTAATTAAAGCTCTAATTTCTACCATAAATTTCCTTGGAATGGAATCCTTACTATTTACGATTGCGATTAGCATAAGGAACGTAGTACAGGGTGTTGCTTGTTTATGCACAGGCAACTGTCTCTAGCCTTAGAGAATTAAAAGACTGATATGATTATTATTGTCCCCGTTGGCAAGATACAGCTAACAGCTGCGTGATGAGTAAAGCACGAAGTCTGTGCAACATGCTCGACACCGTCATAATTACACTGGCAATGCGCTGTCTGTGTGCAGATTGTGCGAAACAATGTGTGAATTTCTACAACTCCATTCAAATGTCGCACGCGATTCGCCACAGCTGCCACCGCCGCCACCATCGCCACCATCGCCCCTCCCCTCGCCGCCCCTCGGGCGAAGCTAACAACAAGCCTCCGTCTGAAAGATGAAGTTGTAATTGGCTTAAATTATGGCCAGATGCGGTTTGCTTTTAACCGTTAGCCGTCGGCTGTTAGCCGTAATGTCTGCCACTGACTTAAGCGCCTGTGCTGCCGCTGTTGTTGTTGTTATTGTTGCTGTTGTAGCTGCTGCTGTTATAACTGTTGCCATAGACCTTGACTTTGAAAGTGTACAAGTTGCTTGAGTAGTTGCATCAACTAACGATTCGCAGCTTAAATGAAACCGAGAGCTAATGCCAAGCCGAAACTGGTTAAATTAACGTGTCACTCGCTTTCTTTCGGCGTTCACAATTTTGAGGTCGCTAGACTCTTTTTGATTTGAATCACGTCATTGTGTCATTGTCGCCATCCATAATTACTTCAATACGAATTGCGTGTGATTTTCTCCATATTTGTCTCAAGCAGCGACAGAGGGAAATAAAAATATCTCCCTACTAAGGAGTTGATGAAATAATTGTTTCTATTCGATAAGAGATGTCAAAGAGGAAGAGCCTACTTTGTATCTATAAATAGTTTATATTTTCTTATATTTCTCATGTATTCTTCCAGCTCAAAAATTAAACTAAAACGTTCAATTGTTTTATAATTATTTTCAATTTAAATCTGAATTTTGAGCACTCTTTAAATTTGTTTCCAATTTTTCTATTCTTTGAGTTCACTTTGTCAAATTATTCTATTTTATTTTATTTTATTTTATTTTTTTTTTCAAAGTTGTATTTATATTTTCTTTTTTCATTTTTGCACCCTCAATTCAACTCTAACCAAATATATGTATATACATTTTTTAATAGATTTAATAGTTAAAATCACATTCTACGTCATGCTCGGGTAATTAATTTTGAAATTATTTATATAAGTATTTGTTGTATTATATTAACTTTATGAATTACTTTGGCTGGCGATTCTAGAGTAACGTAAGTGAAATTTTGGGATTTTCGATAGAGAAGATTAACGGTAGGTCGGCTATAATAAATAAATAGAAATAGAAATAAATAGCAAATCTGTTTGATCTTAGCTTGCCAATATTAACATATTTTAATATATTCCAAATTTGAACTCCCTAAGAAATATTTGTATCCTATTGTCATACTATAGTAGACGTGAGTATACACTATATAGTTTATTGCTTAAATGGAATACTTTTGTTTGAGTTTAGGCACTATATAAGTTAACCTTCAACTTTGATTTTGAGACATAGATATTATATAGTAACATAATTTACTTATTTTATTATCTAGTTGCCTGTATAGATTACAAATTGTAATATGTAAGAAATGGATTTCTGTGCTTGGCACGATTAACTGCATATCGCAGAGTTATGGCATTACCTAGTCGGTCATGGGCATTTAGTTGTTTTTATGAACTTTTGATTTTCCGAATTTGTCATGTGACGGTGCCATTACATTTGTGCAGACAATGTGTATTTGTGTTCGAATAAATCCATTTAAGGTTTATGTCGAGATAAGTGGACATGTGGGACGGAATGGGAAAGGTACGCGTATGGCTTATGTCGGCGAGCATTAAAGTATATATATATATATATATATTTATATGTACAGATATGTACTTAAACAATTATTGCCGACCGCATAGCCAAATTATTGAATACCAGAAAAACAATGCATCAGAAATAATGTAACTCTGAGTTTTCGAAAGCAATCTCTAATCTTCGGTTCGCCTTTGTGGGAGTTTTACCCAATAGCAGAGCAATGCCATTGTTTCCTACGCCCCGAGATGACGTGACGTGATTTGAAAAATGAAAAAAAAAAAAAAAAAACGACCTAATCACATGTAATATTTATGGTGCATGTGAGTGTGGGTAGCTAATGGGAGCATCTGTTTATTAATCACCTAGTCTAAAGAGTTTCGGAGCAAGTGTAGATGTAAGACTTAACACGTCCATGGGCTTATGCTGCATTTGCATATTTGACTTCTGGGTTTCGGGTTTTGGTTTTGGTTTTGGAGCTGGTTCGAATATATGTATGTATATAGCCAGTGAACTGAACTGAATGTAATCGGCAAGTGAATGGCAAGTCGTCAAATTGTGGTTATACTGGCGCATAAGTAAACAAACAAACACACACACCCTAAGACGGCTATAATAATGTTTGTATATACATAAATCGTCATAATTGAGTAAATTGCGTAACTGGCTCCAAGACTCCACCAGCCGAGAGAGAAAGAGAGAGGGAGGGAGAAGTGGCGAGCAAGAGAAAGTATGTGTGTATGAGCGGTCCGCAGGGCCTGCAGCCACCGAAATTAACGCCGGGCTAGGCCCCATGCCTTGGAGCCAGTTTAGAGTTCTACTGAGTATTAAGCCGCCTTCAATGCAAATAGCTCACACACCAAACCAAAACAATGGCAGTGTAACTGGCATTTAACTTTTGCTTTGGCCACTACCGGCAGTTGGCCCCACTTGAAAAATTCAAATATGCCTGTATATAATGGCAGTGAATAATTTATGGTTGCTGCTAAGAGTTGTTGACTGTCTGCATTGATTAGTATTGAAAATACTTACAATACTGGCTTGCCTAGAGCCGATGCCGAACAATGGGGCGTATTCAATCAGATGGCGTCAATTTGCGGCCATGCACCAAATCGCCTGATCTATTAATAAAGATGGTGCGAGGTGTGAGGGGCAGGGTGGCTGGTTGGCAGGAGGGCAGGGGCGGCAGGGGGAGTGGGCAGTAGTAAGCATGAAAGGGAATTTGAAGATCCATTTTGTGATAGTTTCATGCCCCTCAATTCAGGACAGCCATACAAAAGCACCACAAGAAAGAAAACGAATTCAACTATGAAGGTCATTCGGTTGCTACCTTAAATTAATTACAATACTTTACCTTTAATGTTAGGAAAAAACACAAACAAAACACAAATGCAATTTTCAACACAATAACAATTATTATGTTACTTTCAAAGCTGTGTGTGTGTTTTTTAGTGTACGGCTAAGACTTGGGCTGGTATCGCATAAACAATAGTCTGTAATTTGTTTTTAAATAAGCCATTAAAGGCGGCCAACATAAAGTGGTATGCATAGTTAGAGTCAGATTAACAAATAATCTCGAATTATACATGCATAAGCACCAAACGAGTACACATTTTTCATTTATTTTACACACTCAAAGCAGTTCAAGTCACTTGCGAAAGTGCAACGTGTCCGACCATAATGTGGTCAGCATCAAGGCGACATAAAAGCCTTCTTATCTTATTATTTGCAAATTTTGTATTAACCAGAAAATGAACAGGAGCCAGTTTACTCAAGTCTGGATACTTTGGAACATGTTCGCAGCTTATTGAAAATAAGTAAAATGAAAAAAAAAAAAAAAAAATTGTACATATATATAAAAGTACAAATGCGTCTAATTAATTTTATAATTATTATAGGTTTTTTTTTTTCAAAATTAAAAAATATATCAAAGTCCTTAACCTTAATAGAGTATATTAGTTTTCTGCAATATATTTAGAATTTCGATATTTCTGTAATTTATAGCCAATCTATATTTATTTAGAAATATTTGAAGCATGTGGATAATTGATTCATTTAAATTAAATAAACATTGTTTATTTATAAATATGTATAGATGGCCTCAAGTTCTGCTACTTACCATGCTAAACTTCTCTCCTCTCTCTCTCTCTCTCTTCAGCAATGTGTTTTTATTTTTTGGAAACAGTTATTTATCTTTCACTTTTAATTACTCGCGATATGTAATACCTTAAATATAGGTCTACGAGCACACAGTATTTGCTATTCGACAATTGCCAAACCTGAATCGTGAATTGCACGCTCAGCTGGGCATATATTAGATATCGTATATTGATATTGGCAAGAAATATTTTGATTTGATTCGATTTGGTTTAATTTGATATAGCAAATTTGCAGCTTAATTGGCCACACAACACCACTCAACACCTGCTCATAGGTGAGCACCAAGCTCTTAGTCGACAGCTGGATTAGATTACGATCCGTTGGGTAAATGTCTTTCGACCAAAACCAAGTACCCAAGTTGCTGTCGGCGGCAAACTAACTGGCCAGCCGTTGATTTTTGGGCTTTTATAACGAATCGGCATGGACTGCCGCAGCAACTCAGCAGCTGAGTAACTGAGTAACTGAGCAACGGAGCTGCACAGCGTCTAGGCCAACCAAGCTGCCTGAGCTTGTGTTTGAGCGTTTGCTTAAAGCCAGTTTACAGTTGGTAGTGCTGCAGGCGCAGGCGCAGGCGCGACGCATTGAATGGAAGAGGCGAGTGCAGGCGCAGACGCAGACGCAGACGCAGGCTTAGAAGGCGACGTCGACGTCGACTGCGAAGAAGCTTGCTCACATTTTTTCGCTCTGCTCTAATTTATAGCCATACATCGCGGCGATGGCGGCTCAGGGACGGGAGGAACAACAACACACATTGCTGGCGCTACTTAATACATTCAGCAGTAGGTTTTTATGCTTGATGCTTGCAATCTATGCAATTCCAGTCCATTGGCCGGTTGTCACTTTTTGGCTAGGACCCGCAGAGCAGTGCTTCACAATCTGGGCCAAAAGCCATTTGTATAGCATTAAGGTATGCTCGCATATGAAATACGAAGTTGGACATACACACACACACACACATATATACACATACACAGACGTAACCCCATCGACCTTTTTGGAGTGCGACTGTTGTAATGCGACAAATGTCGAATGGAATCGGCATCGCCACCGCCATCTGTGACCTAGAAAGCTTTTCTTTTGAACATGTTACGCAAACTGGAGTTGCGTTTGCGTGACGTTGACGATTGGACAATTGTTTTCATTAATTAAACATTTTCAGCACAATATAATATTGCAACTTTTCACAACGTCTTATTATTTACATACTGGTATAGAAACATGATTGACGATATAGAAATTGTATACGCACTCACATCTCATTTCTACAAGTAGAACGCAGCTTACAAAAAAAGGCAGCTCTACGTTTACCGCTTTGCTTAGTAATTACTATGATAATTTATCGTACGCTTTAAAATAACATAACGATACAGATTAGTCCAGCATCAGTGGTAGACTGCACAGGGGCTCCAGGGGCCTCGTGTCAGTCAAAAAATACAGGAAATATTGCTAAACATATTATGGAGATTAATATATATCAATAAAAAAAAAAAAAAAAAACAAATTAGAATAGTTGGGCATTACCGACTGTAGAATATTCAATTACACTCAAAAAACTGTTATTCTTAAAGCATTGGAAAATATAGTTGCTTTACGATTTTCCCCTTCCCAAGAGGAATATACATATATTTTTATACCCTGAACCCATTGAAAATGGGAAATCAGGGTATAATGGTTTTGTTGAAATGTATGTAACAGGCAGAACGAGGCGTGGCAGACCCCACAAAGTATATATATTCTTGATCAGGGCGACGAGCTGAGTCG